TGTCACCCATCTTGTATTTGTGCCTCTCATTTTTTTTGCCCTTTGAAGCAGAGGCTTTCTGGCCTCTGCTTCAAAGCTTCTAATGAAAAGAGTCCACCAGCTTCTGTGGCAGCCTGTTCCACTGTCGGGCAGCTTTAGTCAAAGAGATGGACAGATGGATGTGTCTTCCTAGCATGGGCCCTGAGGGTTCTGGACCACACATGTTGGCTACATGCAACAAAACCCACACTTTGCAGAACAGCATCTATACTTTCCCTGGAGCACTTTTTTCAGGTCCTATCTCAGAGCAGAACTGTTTTGTTTGCATTCTTCCACACGCTCTCTGGCATGCAAACTTCTGATTAAAGCAGCTATGGCTGCGGCTGTGTATATGTACGTTTAAGCTTGGGTGCTCTTCTTGGTGAACAAATACAATATCTTAATTTTACCTTGCATGAACTTGCTCGGATGTGCTTTTCTAGCCTTCAGTTCTTGCTGAAATGCGTTGCTTTAAAGTCTTTAGTTCATGAATTTCCAGGCAGGGTTTGAGGCTGCTGACATCTGTTATTTGCACTCATGGAATTGTAGAATTGTGGAGTTGGTATGGTCATCAAGTCCAACCCCCTGCAATGCAGCACTCTTACAATTTTTTAAAAAAATGCAGCCCATGTCCAGTTTCTTCCTATCTGATGTCTATTTCACTCTGAAGCAGTGCAAAATGCCCTTTTCTATAAGCTACTCATGATCCATTTACATGCAGTTTAATTTGAGTTGGAGCAAACCAGAGACTGGCCCCAGAATCATATGCAAGCACTCAGCCTTGGGCCTTGTGACATAAATATGAACAGTACCACTGAGCATGTGTGGAGAGCTTCCTTCTCAGTATTAACCCCCTGCTTTCAGAGAACAGGGCTGTCAGGTTGACCAGAACCCCCCGGCACATCTTATTTGAGAAACTACCAGCGCTTTAGAGTGAAACAGACGCTTCCCATACATAACACAAGATGTTTCAAAATGCCATCTTCTACCCCATGCAATAGAAGTGCAGCAGAACTAAATTCCATCAGACAAAAATGGGTGGTGCCATGCTCCATAAAGTTACTCTTAATTGGTAGACGATGGAACAGGGCACAGGCTTTGTTACAGCAAATGATCCTTCTTCTATATAGCTTTCCCCTCTGCAGTTGCCACCTGTTAGTCCAGAGAACATGCATTTTCTTTGAAGCAACAGAACTAATTGCTGTGGCTCCTGCTGAAGTGGCAACTTTGCCCATCCTCCTCACTGGCAGCAGCAGCAGCAGCAAACAGGCTTTAGTCTGTATCCCAGAGAAGATATGGGAGGAGGGCAGGTATTTGGACAGGTGGAATGGGAGGGCATGGAACTGCATTCCTTCCTGCTATGCTGGAAAAGGAATAGTCATAATAAGGCTTCTTTACTGTAACATTTGTGGTGGAAGAAGCACCAGAAGAATCTACAGCAGATGCCCTTGTAAACGGAAACGTTGTGCAGTACCCAGTCCAGTGACACAACTGTAAGGAGATAGAAAACCCAACACCCTCCTGAGTTTATGAGCAAGCCCCCAGTATTTTCTGCAAATGGTGCTCTGATTTTGAATGACTACAGTCTGCACAATCAAAACTGATTTCAAACAATTACTGTATTTTTCTGTCTATAAGACCCCTACATGTATAAGATGCCCCAATTTGGGGGGTACTCCAATTTAAGAAAATGGGGGAAGATCTATCCGTGTATAAGACACCCCCAAATTTTGGACATTATTTTTTAGGAGAAAAACCTAGTCTTATACATGAAAAAATACGGTATGTAGAAACCTCAGCTCAGGGTATTCAATCTCTCTCTCTCTCTCTCTCTCTCTCTCTCTCTCTCTCTCTCTCTCTCTCTCCCCACCATAAGTGATGCCCCTTGGGGGAATTTTTTTGTCAGTTCCATGTAAACCATTAAGTCATATTTTAGCTTCTTTCAGAATTTTGTGTCTTAGGCATTTTTTTTTTCTGGCTGTGATCACTCTCTCTCCTTTTAGCTCCTTTCTCAGTATGTCTCTGCAAAGTGCCTGGATACACAACGTATTTGTTTTGATCAGTGTCCATGTACTCTGCCCAGCTGTAACATAACCGGAGTTTATTCTTTAAAAATTACTTCTCATTTACAAAAAGAAAGAAAAGAAAAAAATCTCTTCTAGGTTTTCTATCACTTTATTCTTCTTCAAGCACCTTCTTGAGCTTCATCTCAAAACTACGTGGCTCAGTCACAGCCAGCATGTTCCAAGCGTTGAAGTTCAGAGTGGTTAATTGGAAGTTGCCCATTAAGTCCCTTCCCCCCGGAGCCTGAAATGTTCTGTATCTCATTTGTAGAGAACGCACTTCCTCTGGCGACAGAGAACCCTCTCAGCTTTTCTTTACATCTCCGCAGCTTTCTTCCCTCTAGCATGGCATACATAATAAATGCATCACACTTCTGCCTCTGTTGTCAGAAAAGCATGCAGTTTTGAAACTCCACCATTTTACAATCTCCTGTGGCTTTCACAGACAGCTCAAATTGCCATCTGAATCTTTCCCGACTTCTTCAACATGCAACCTTCAAGGCTGGTGGGAAAGATGTGCTTTAGTCAAGGGAGGGGTCCCAGAAAGGGGTAGAAAAGCAATTTTATTTCATCTGTTTCCCTTACTACAGGCATGGCCAAACTTGGCCCTCCAGATGTTTTTGGGACTACAACTCCCATCATCCCTAGTTAACAGGACAAGTAGTCAGGGATGATGGGAACAGTAGTCCCAAAACATCTGGAGGGCCAAGTTTGGCCATGCCTGCCTTACTACTATTAGGAGCATAGAAACTGCCTTATACTGAGTCAGACCATTAGTCCCTCTAGCTCAATACTGTCTACACTGATTGGCAGCATCTCCCCAGGGTCTCAGGCAGGGGTCTCTCCTAGCTTGACCTGGAGATGCCAGAGACTGAACCTGGCATCCTCTGCATGCAAAGCGGATCTGAGCTATGGCCCTTCCCCATGGTAGGTCCCATTCATGTTCTGGCAGATTGAATGTTCTGGGGCCAGCAAAGCCAGGAAGGCTGGTTGGGATCTTCGAGCAGGAATTACTTTTGTACCCAATGGGCTATCATGCCCCTCCCTTGCTGAGGTACATGATACAGTGCTGGATTATTTGGTTGCATTTGCTTTCCATCAGCACCGCAGTGCTAGTGACATAGTACTGCTAGAGCCACTACCAAGTCACCCTGCAACCCTTGTGGGCTCATTTAAAGTGCAGGGAGCCAGTGTGGTGTAGTGGTAGTCTTGTAATCTGGGGAACCGTCTCCGCTCCTCCACACGCAGCTGCTGGGTGACCTTGGGCTAGTCACACTTCTCTGAAGTCTCTCAGCCCCACTCACCTCACAGAGTGTTTGTTGTGGGGGAGGAAGGGAAAGGAGAATGTTAGCCACTTTGAGACTCCTTAGGGTAGTGATAAAGTAGGATATCAAATCCAAACTCCTCCTCCTCTTCTTCATTTCAGCAGATTCAGATCTAAGGTGGTGCCTAACACACTGTGGTGGTACAAATCTCACATGGCCATTTTATCGCCTTAAGTTTCACATGAGGAAATGTTTCCATGGGAAAAACCCCCAATCCAAACAGAAGGTCTCATCTACAAAACCAGACTTTGGATAGAATCACAAGTTCTTTCCAGACATCAGCTTCGATGCTTGGGTCTGTGTGATGTAAACATAGAGAAGAATGCCTCCAAGCATGTGCTGAGCTCCTTTCCTAATCACCGATTAACCATAACCACTTTGCATATATCTGGGATTGGGGAGAAAGGCTTCTATACAAAAGGATTTGGCTGTCATTGAGGCTTGAACCTCAGCAGCTCTAGTGTTAGCAATTAGCTATGAGAATAATAATTTGATTGATTGATTGATTGATTGATTGATTGATTCGTTTCCCCAGCCACTCTGGGTGGATCCCAACAGATTATTAAAAACACAATAAAACATCAAACATTAAACAATTCCCCAAACAGGAAATAAGAACCATCCCTCATGCGCTATGGGAGTGTGAGATGTGGGCATAAAAAGACATGCAAGATGCTCTGGAATAAAGGGAGGAGCTTTTAAAATGAAGCCTCATAAAAGGAAATGAACCTTCAGTACAATATAGACTGAAGGCTCTGCCAGTCAAAAGTTGAGATTATTGCAGGATATCTAAGGATGATGCCAATTCCCATTCGCTTAGCAAAACTCTCCACACAAGATGTCCTTCATTTAAGTGCCCTCAGATTTCATAAATGCTGAGGAAAGTTTCTCGAAGGCTGAGAACAGTTAATACTTCATAGATCAAGTCCAACCCCCGCTGATCTGCAGCTGGGAATGAGTCCCAGTCTAGAGCCTCACGCAAGGAGGATTGCTTAATAAGCACACAATAGCAGTGGCACCTGCATTTGCTTCAGGCCTGGGTGCTCCTCCAGGTGCAGTCAAGACACAGTGCATTGCAGTGACGTTGCCTCAGGGTGACCCAGACCCAGGACGCAGCATAAAGAGAACTGAACACTTAAATACAAACCACAGAGAGACAGGCGAACCATTACTGCCTGCCAGCTTCCCCCAACCAGCTACTCTTTGGGTATTTTAAAGGACAACACCCATCAGCCCCAACCAGCACAGTGATGCACCAGATTGGGGAAGGCTGGTCTAAGGACGTCCAGAAAAGAATCATAAAAATGTCTGGTCCCCTACGGTAAGAACCAAACAAGTCCTCTTCTTGTACTGGGGAGAATGAGTAAGGCTTAAGCAGATCCAAAGGGTGGAGATAGAAGGGGGTTCAAATTGAGAAAGTACATCTCTCTCTCTCTCTCTCTCTCTCTCTCTCTCTCTCTGTGTGTGTGTGTGTGTGTGTGTGTAATGGCTGTGGCTTGACCTGCCAAGAAACAATTACTGCATCCCTTACCTGCCTATTGGGTGGGAATGGGTGTTTCGTTAGCAGTAATTAAGGAAGCACTGATTTCCTTACCCGTGAGGCCAAACTGTCCTTGCAGTGCAGGCTGATTCCACACTCGTCCGTGATTTCAGAGAGATCTTCATCCTCAAATTCCTCCAGGCTGATGTCATGGGTGAGCCTAAGTTAAGGCAAAGAGTGTGAGGTTATCCATCAAGGAAAGCTAGCCAAAAAGGAAATACAACACATACAGTGATGCTTGGGGCAAGGTTATAACCCCAGGCCTGGATCCAAAAGAGAGAAGAGGTTAATTGCCTGCCAAGCTAAATTAACAATTACTATATTAGATAATCCACTGAGCAGAGACTCCAAAGGAATTTTACCTTCTACTGTGCTGGTTATCTGAGAGTTTCCCTGATTCTTCTGTTCTTTGTGCTGCGGTATTTTCAACATTCCCTGCAGCCCTGAACACAGAGGCTGGTCTCACGTGGTGGTAGCTGGTGAGAGAGTTGGGGGAGGCACTATTTTGAGCCCCTCCTTTCCCAACACTAGGGTGTACAAAAGGAAATAATGTTCTCAAAGATGTGCAGAAACATCAATTACTCCCTATACCAGGGATAGGAACCTGCGCACTGGCATCCAGCTCCCATCATCCCTGACCATGAACCATGCTCACTGGGGCTGATAGGAGTTGGGAGTCCAATAACATTTGGGGAGCCAGAGATTCCCCAGCCTTTCCCTATGGGAGGGGTGTGTGGAAAGGCATAAGCGCATAATCTCTCTCTCTCTCTCTCCCTACCAACAACATACATACCTGTTGCTAACCAACCAAAATAATCAAAGTGATTACAGTGTCCCGTAACACACTTGCCTTTAGCTCCATGAAGCTTTTTATTTTTAAACCCTCTCAAACCAAACCGCTACATTTGCTAAAATTGAAAGAACATATTTAAAGGCATTCTTTTTTTATATAAATGTTATATGAGTATAGGGAAAAAAGGGGGTTTAAAGTTGTTTCAGCCCACAAGGCCAATGTTAATGGTTTAATTTGAGATGCAGCCCACTGCAACACAGAATGGGAAGCTATTTTCAGCAGCATGACTTGAAAATGTGAAGAAATAACCTCTGGTCATGCAGAGAGGGCTCCTCACTACTGGGTAATCGCAACTAAGTCCCATATATCTGGGGTTAGGGAGACCACCTTCCAGGTTTGAGTGGTGTGTGCATGCCTGTGCTGGCAGGGTAGGAATAGAGTGTTGGTGCAAAAGAAAAACGGATGAGGTAAAACTTCAAAATGAAGCTTGATTTTTAAAAACATGATATATATTATATATCTAACGGAACCACCTCCCCCATTGGGGCCTGGTGATGACCCCAAGATCTCCCGCAATGATGTTGCAAAGTTCTTTGCAGATAAAGTCGCTCAGAATCGGAAAGATGTAGACTCCACTGTGGGAGCAGGGCCAGGGTAGAAGAGTGCTAGGGTTCTGTCTGGTCATATTGTATGGGATCAATTCCAATCTGTTACCTCCGAGGATGTGGACAGGCTGCTTGGACGAGTGAAACTGACCACCTGTCTCCTTGATCCTTGCCCATCCTGGCTTATAAAAGCAGGAAGAGCTAGGTGATGGGCTCCGTGGGCTGGTGAATGCTTCCCTCTGTGAGGGAGCCTTCCTAGACCCGCTGAAAGAGGTGGTTATTAAACCGCTTCTTAAAAAGCCATCTTTAGATGCGGCCACGATGGCCAACTATCGCCCAGTCTCAAATCTTCCATTCTTGGGCAAGGTGATTGAGTGGATGGTTGCTGAACAACTCCAGGCATGCCTGGAGGATGCAGATCATTTGGATCCAGTACGTTTCCAAGCACAATTCAAAGTGTTGGTGCTGACCTTTAAACCCCTAAATGGCCTCCAACCCCATCGCTCAGTCCTGACACCGAGGTCCTCCTCCGAGGGTCTTCTGCTGGTTCCCTCACTGTGAGAAGCGAAGTTACAGGGAAACAGGCAGAGGGCCTTCTCGGTAGTGGCGCCCACTCTGTGGAACACCCTCCCTTCAGATGTCAAGGAAATAAACAACTATCTGACTTTTAGAATACATCTGAAGTTTTTAAGGATTGATGCTTTTATTACATTTTTAGATATGTTGTAAGCCACCCAGAATGGCCGCAAAAACCCAGCCGGATGGGCAGGGTATAATAATAATAATAATAATAATAATAATAATAATAATAATTCTACCCAATGTGCTTTGCTGTGTTGTTTCTTTAGGGGCAAAAATATCTCATTGATATAGTTCACTTAAAACCACAAGGGGACCAACTCCCCCCCCCCTGTCAAGAGGAAAAAAATTCTCTCAGGGGCTGCATGTTGACAGTTATGGAACTGTCAAAGCCAAAGCCAATGATGGGCCAGAGATGAAAGTGTTTGAGAATGGTCTCAGAGTATGGTCTGAAGGCACTTGAGGTCATCATCTTACTGAAGTTAAGCAGGACTAGGGCTGGTTAGTGCCTGGATTGGGAGACATCCAGGAAATCATATGTATGTTGTCTTGGGTTCCATGATGGAAGAAGAGTAGGATATAAATGTAAGAAAATATGTAAATAAAAAATAGCTAATGTTGTATAAACACTGCTGTGCTTTCCATTTTTATTATGGCTACTCAGATAAGAATCCTCAAATCTATGCAGGTTGACTCAGAATAAAAGTAAACCCCATTGAGTTTAATGGGGTTGTTCTCAAATACAAAGGGTGTTTTTAATACAATCAGACCAATACTGTACCGCTACTGTTCTGGAAAACAAGTGAAAGTAATTCCTGACTTTAATGTGCAATATACATATATGTAGCAGAAATCTACCATTTTTAAAATCAGTTCCTCTGAAACTATGAAGAAAGAGGGGGGAATAATTTTAAAAACTAGTGGGATGGAGAGGAAACAATGGGGATGGAAGAAACTCTAAGAGGGTGGAAGGAATTAGGCAGTTTCAGGTGCTGTTGGGGGCTGCAAGCATTCCCTACATTGCACACCTGTGGTTTAAAGCTTTTAGGAATATTTCTGCCCCTGAAGGCAGCAAAACATAGTAGGCATACTATATTTGTATGGCTTTTAAAACAAACACATTTAAGCATCTTTGTGAGGCTTTGCATCACTCCTGCCCCTGCTTTTTGGGCTTATTTATTTTGGTACCACATCTCCATTTTTTCTGTCAATCACTGCAACATCCAAGCCACCTTGAGATGCAAATTTTTTCATTGCCAAATTTCACTGGCAAACAGTCCCTGAAAACGTGCTTATGTGAAAAACAGACAATGCACAGCAAGCTGCAAAATCAGCGTCTTGCTTGCCCCCACCCAATATCCCCCTCCTCCAAAAGACCAATTTAAACAATAAAGATGAACGATAATCTATTTCATCCCAGGTGACAGCAGGGTGGCCAAGAGTCCTACTTTGTAGAGGATAGTCCTCAAAGACTGCCTAGCAGAGAGACAGAGCAGGTTCACAGGGCACAGTCTCCCTACTCTACGCTGAGATGTTCTTCTGATTAAATTATTGCAATGATTTCTGAATTTGCATTTATAAATGCAAATCTGTTCTTTTTTCATTTTTGGTGATGCACTGTACAAGTGGTCACCCAGAGTGGCGCTGTGGGTTCTGACTGCTCAGTTTCATAAGACAGAGCAGGGGGTCGGAATGCAAATACTCAACCTGTTGAGATGGTTTGGTTGTCTTTAATAATGTCCCTTTTGATTGGGAGGGCTCTACCTTTAACCCCTAATGCTGAAGTCTCCACTGATAAACAGTTTCACTCAATTTCATTTTCCTTACCACTTTGCATAGATTTTAGCCAAATTAGCCAACAGACCTTATACTCACATTCCCCCATGGCTATTTATTAAACATTAATCCTGAACTGTTTGCACAGATATTATAACAGCTTCCTGTTGATTAATTGCTATCTCACAATTCCTAGGTAAAACCACTTCAACTGCACAGACCTAAATTTGAATCACTCCAGCAAGATAGTTACAATCCGTAAGTAACTTGAGTTCTCATCCCTCATCTAACCTCTTTCCCAACTCCAAATGTTTTGACTTCTTCAGAAAATATGCATTATGAAAATGGAAGATGAAGCCAGATATCTCAAAACAGCATTTTAATAGTGTCGACATAATACTGTACACTACAGCAACATCTGGAAGAACCAATGGACACCTTTCTAGCTCGCTGTCAACTCCTTTTTAGGCTGAACTTGGTCTTAAAATGTTAGGATCCTAGAACTGTCCGGATTCAACCCAAATGCTCTGTCTGGCCTGAATTATTCAAGAACATCTGCAGAATTAACCCAATTGTGTTGCGCCATATGTACGTCTCATCATAAAGAAACCATCAATATGAAAAGGAAACTAAGAAGTGGGGACAGAGCATGAGAAAAGCAGGCTTTTGACTAAAGAAGATTCAGTTTATAACTCTTCACACTTTTGTGCTAACAAGTCTATTCAGTTGCTTAATTCCCCCCCCCCCAAGATGAACCAGTTATTTTGTATTGTTTTGTGGCATCTTCTGTTTTATCGTACCTGTTTATATTGTTGTACACCACCTTGGTACTTTATGGAAGCTGTCCAGGCTTCCAGGCAGTTCAGACAGAAAGAGTGAGAAAACCTACCAAGAACACTTGGCAACAACAGGACTCTCCCTTCTTTAATCCTTTGAAGTGCATTTATTTAATTAATTTCTAAACTGCCCTTCATCAGTTGTGTTCCAAAGCAGTTTACAGCACAGATATCCAAGTATAAAATACACAAAAATTCAATCCAATAGTTTTATAAATCAACTCTGAAACAAAACTGTATGAGCAGAAACATAGACAATATCTAGCAATTTACTGCTGGCCTTTGCCCAATCAGCTTCCTCCAAATGAAAACCTCAGTTGCTCCCTAATATCCAGGGATCTACCAAGAGGCAGAAAGAGCCTTTTATGTTCTCCCCCCCCAGGTGTCCTTTCCCCACAGAAGAGGAAATGCCCTTCCCCAACACTGACAATATCCTCAAGAGAAGAGACTGCATTTAGCCTTAAGAACCAGAGTAGACACGTCAGCCTATCTGCTCCCCGTGGAGGTAAGAAAAAGGCAGTAAGGGAGACATCAAGAAAGGAAATAATGAATCATCCACAGATCATCTCAA